ATTCTCTTGTGTGATATAACCCGTTACGGGTACACGAATCGCAAAAAGGGCCTTCCCCTAGGTGATATTACTTGACATGTGCAGACGTATCCCTATACCACTTTAATGCTTGATCAATAATTGCATGTTATCTTACTCTTATGAATGTCAGTACTAAATGCTAAGGTAAAGATAACGAGACAGAAAACAATACTCTGATTTTATGTTTTCAAATATGTCGTCAAGTTATCTTATTGGTACCGATTTATAATGAAAACTTAAATTAATGATGGAATCATTGCGATATCAATTGACAAATTATACTTTACTAGAGTAATGATTTGTAAATGAGCCAGTCGATTGTATAAGCCGGTATCGTACCGCAGACGTCTTATCTGTTGTCGTTTACAGTTTTATCGATCACGTGATCGATTTCTCCAGCATGTGATACTTGCTGGGTATGAACAGGTTTGTATATATCAAATGAGACGTAAAAAGGCTTGGAGTCGTAGATCACTTTTTATCGTAGCGTTTACAAAATTGATCTCAACTTTGGCATTTGGTTTAATGTTCGATACTTTCTGCCCATATTATACATATAATAAATGTTTAGCAAGGGTGTCAGGTTCAGAATCACGAGAACGGAGGTATATAACGTGACATCATAATATCCCAATACCCATATCAGGTAAATAGCGGCTGGAACGACGTTTCCAATCCTGTGCTGGCTGTTTGCCATGACTAACAAAATATTAAATTTCAAAATATCACCAGTTGAGAGACGATCCGACCACTTTTTATAACGACAGTAAAAACAGGAATAAGTCACTTGTTTTAGCTTTGAGCCTTGAAATACACTATATTGTATATCGTGACGTCACAGATCGAGAGCAATTTAATGTGTTTTACGATGTAACTTCGTTTGTACCTAGTCAAGGTTCTCATCAGTATTACGGGTCAGTATATAATAAAAAAAAAAATCGATCCAATGTTTTCATCAGTATTACGGGTCAGTATATAATAAAAATAAAAATCGATCCAATGTTTTCATCAGTATTACGGGTCAGTATATAATAAAAATCGATCCAATGTTTTCATCGCTTGTGCTGTAAAGTCAAGCTAGCATAATTGCAGTGATGAAACACGTCATGGTGTACAAGCCTAGGTTAGACCGTACCAACCACTGTCATAACATTGGTCATTAATGTAATTAGGATTGACTTATGTATTAAATCTATACTTCCACCAATAAAAGGAAATGATGTCATATACCCCAGGCAACTTTTGTTGTTGTCACAATGACCGTGTTGACCTTTAGTTTCTAACGAATGACAAGTATCACCAAATAGGAAAATAGATTTATAACCATATGAAACTTTTATTTTTGTATTTATTTAAGTCCACTTCACTTGAAATACAAAGCAAAGAAGTACCTATCTAAACCTTTAGTAAGCCAATACCGACAACCACAGCAGTTTATACAACATAGGATCATTTGTCCAGTTAAGTCCAAATTAAATATCAATCTGAAGCAATTGAAGCAAAATAGAAAACGAATCATTGCGTTAACACAAAAATACAAAATCAGAACTAAAAGTTCAAAACAACAACGGGAATGGTACCCTTAACTACACAACACCCACTCAGAACATTTGTATCTAAATTCTGTCATTTGTATACGTCTGTGTGGGCTGGGAATAAGCTGATATGCTAAACTTGGAGCCCGGCCTACAGCAGGGGCAATCACAACACGCTGATAACAGCTGTAAAGCAAATGTTAATGAAACATAATTAAATAAAATTTATTCTGTGCGATAAAAACGGCTTCCATTATTATTTGCAACAATGTAAAAACCATGTCACCGAAATGATTACAGGTATTATCAGCCATTGTTTAGTATACAGTATTTAGTTAGAAGATCACAACTGTTTTCTACCGAATACAGGCAATAGACAGATATTTTTTCTCATACACTTATGTTATTTTATTTATATTTATACAAAAATCGTCAAATTATTCGAACACAGCAGGGATAAAACTAGGTCAAAATATGAACAGAGCATTGATTTACATGGACACCCGTGATAAAGTACAAGGATAAAATGGCCAGGTGTTCCGCAAGAGTAAGCGCTTTTTCTTTAACGACGTCACCCGTTATGTAAATCTGGGTAAGTTATGTCACATTCTGACATTGAAACCTCGAGTAGTAACAACTAAACCACAAGGCACACAGATGAGCATAATACAAAACAAGAGGCCCAGAGGGCCTGTATCGCTCACCTGGATACCAAAGCAATGATGGCAAAATATTCTCAGAATGAGACCAAGGGAATATGCCAGACCTCAAGGCCAATCCTTGTAGCATATCTGTATCAGACTTTTCATGCCCAGCAATTTTATGTTTGGTTATGGGGTGGGGATCTCAACTGTTTCCAAGCTTTGACTCAGAAACTAGGTCCCTAGGGTTGTGGCCAGACCCCAGGATCAATTCTAATATCGTGACTGCATTTGTCTCTTTTTGCCCAGCATTTGTATAAATAGTTTTGGGGTGGGGATCTCAACTGTTTTAAAGTTACGGACCAGGGACTATATCTCCAAGGGTGGGGCCAGACCCTATAGCCATCCTGGAAGCAAATGTGCATTCTTCTCTTTATACTCAGCAATTGTATATACCGTCATAGGGTGGAGCTCTCAACTGTTTCCAAGCTGTGACTAACAAACTAGGTCCCTAGGTGTTCGGTCAGACCCCAGGGTCTATTCTGACATCATGACTGCATTCGTCTTTTATGCACAGCATTTGTATATATAGTTTTGGGGTGGGGATCTCAACAGTTTTAAAGTTACGGACCAGGGACTATATCTCCAAGGGTGGGGCCAGACCCTATAGCCATCCTGGAAGCAAATGAGCATTCTTCTCTTTATACTCAGCAATTGTATACCATGGTTATATGGGAGGGATCTCAACCATTTCCAAGTAATACGCTTTTTTTGGTCCCCCCCCTTAGCCCAGGGGGTCAGCCCCACCATTTGTACACTTTTTAATCCCTGCCTTCCATGAATGCTTCCGACCAAATATGATCAATATCCATGGCATAGTTCTACAGAAGAAGTCGTTTATAGCAATATAGCCAAATTGCCCCCTTTTCGGCCCCGCCCTCAGCCCCCACCCACCAATTTGTATACTTTTGAATCCCTAACACCTAGGGATTCTTCCAGTCAAATATGGTTGATACCCATCTCTAGGTTCCAGAAAAGAAGTCGATGAAAGCTGTATAGGCAATTTGCCCCTTTTTTGCCCCGCCTCTCAGCCCCCCGGGGGGTCAACCCCATCATTTGTACAATTTTGAATCACCACCACCTAGGGATGCTTCCAGTCAAATATGGTTGATATCCATCTCTCAGTTCCAGAAAAGAAGTCGATGAAAGCTGTATAGGCAAATTGTCCCCTTTTTGCCCCGCCTCTCAGCCCCCTGGGGGGTCAACCCCATCATTTGTACAATTTTGAATCACCACCACCTAGGGATGCTTCCAGTCAAATTTAGTTGAATTCCAATCAGTGGTTAAGAAGAAGAAGTCGTTTAAAGAAATTGTTGACGTACGAACGGACGGACGACGGACGCAACGGTATGGCATAATCTCACCCTGGTCCTTCGGACCAGGTGAGCTAAAAATCGACCTTCATATCACATAAAAATAGTATATTTCTCAATAAGATCACAAGGCCGACCATAACATTTGTTTCTATTCTTCAACATCCTGCATCTTTGGTAAGCTAATGTTGTCATCTTTGCCGTCAACAGTCAACACCCACCACGGAAGTGACGATTTTCGGAGCAGAAATGATCAAGATTACATAAGAGATTTATGCGTTGCGGGCCTTTTTAGAAAGTTTAATGAACTTTTGTAATTTGTGTTAGTAATTCACCAAAAAATATAAACAACGAAAGCTTTCTTACAGTTAATGAATAAACAACTCTCGAGATAATGGTTTCGTTCCTGTAAAATATCCGAAACTTGAAATATTCGCGAAACACCATTATTAGTGTTAATGTTTGCTATCAGAATGACAACGAACGCTTCCTTTTGTCACCTGTTCTTACAAAATAAAAACAAAACCCGGAATAAATATATGTATTATCGAAAGTAGGCGCCATAAAGCACCATGACGCTTGCGCTGAGAAAACAGATATTCAAATACTGTATGCATTTTTTTTTTTTAATTTCGCGAGAGGTAGTTTTTCTCGTTAACATGTAAAAGTGCTAGTTTGTTTATGGTTAAATTAAAGATTTTGATCTCCAAGGTTTGTAATTTAATTGAAATATCATGTTGAATTCACAAATTCTTCCTATTTCGAAATTCGCCAAAATAGCACTCCCGCGAAAATGACTTTGTGAATTTCTAATGCGAGATATGCAAGTATATCACTGCCTTGAAAATTATTTACATACCCCGCCAGAAATGTTGTATTACAGTAAGTTGTTAAGATTATAAGACTTTTTCATGCTTAGGGGTGAAAGATAGGGAAATTCCACTCGAGGGGTATATGGTTAAATCCGAGGTCGAGGGTTTTGCCAAATTTCAAAATCTCGAGGGTGAAATTTCTCTATCCTACACCCCAGGGCATGAAAGAGTATTTCCCCCTCATTCCAACTACCAGAATAAGCTCAGAAACCATGGAAAGTGCGTTTGGACTAGCTACCATTTTGAAAATATCAATTTTCCCCTGAGAATTTTTGACGAAAACAAATCTGTCAGAGAAACTGAGCTTATTCCACATTTGCAGAGTTTGCTCAGAAACATTAATCTCATCTTTGTATGGTAAATATATCGTAATAGGTTTTAATTCCATCACGTTTCTTACACCCCATTTCACGTGACGTGACGTCACAATGGCTCAACAATGATGTGACGTCACGTCACGTGAAATGGGGTGTAAGATAGAAATGTCTTACACCTTTTTCTTACCCTGGACAGCTCTATCTTACACAAACGAAAATGAGAGAAAAAACATTTACTTACGAGCACTGCATTTTGGTGACAGTAAAGAGACGAAGGAGGTAGCCTCGATCCTGATTGGGAAGCTGAGACGTTGGCACGAGTAGGTACTGACCAGGATCAAGGAAGAACCTTCCTGAGGTTTCCCGATACTCTGCGTATGTCTCTTCATTGTCGGGCATAAGTGGATCGGTTCTATCAAAAAACATCTTATTCAGAACTCCGGTGGGGCGAGTGAACAGCTGCAATAACACGTTGGGCATTGGTCAGTTATTATTCTCGTAAGTATTTTTTTGTTATTTCGTGCATCTAAGTCGAAAATATTGTTTTTGCGTTAATTTCTCCCCCACTTTTACCCAATTTTTGATAATTTGAATTATGTTCATATGTGTGATTATTTATTTTAATGGATGTACAGTGGGCTGGGAGTATTCTGCTACAAGATCTAGCGATACACTACCTCTATGTTAATTCCTTAGATATGTCACATTGAATAGAATTGAAGTTTTGTAGCCAACTTATACAACTATAAATCTTGTTGTCATGTTTGTTGTTGAAAAGAGACGATGTCACCTATACTGCCTACATACATTTTATCATATTTGATAAGTTATAAATTAGAAGAAATTGCAGGAGAGGCGTGAAAATATCTGTTACAAACCTGGAAAACTTCAAATCCTATTGCATATAGTCCGATTCCCTCTAGTTTATCCTGGCGGCGGTAGACCTGGAGAAGGGACACAACTAGTGGAAGACGTCCGTTAAACCTCCTTTGGACATTTACTGGAACGCAAACAAAATTTAAAGTTAAGTAAAAATAGCAACGCATGTAATAGGGTTGATTTTAATACCGCGTCTACCGTTAGTTGTGCTGTTTCGGTATATATAGACATTGTCGTTTTGAAACAGATTTTAGGTAGGTTCTTACATAAGTATGTACGTGCAATTAAAGCACTTCTATTGTAAGCAATCTAGTATGAATCGTCTATAATCAAATTGTATGTTAACAACGTTTGTATATCTTTAAGCATTAAACTGTTTTGTATGGTATTTATGATCTATTTGAATGACATAGCGCACATTACATAGATGTATGTTGTTTGCTTGCAAAGCTGTGTCATTCAAATAGATCATAAAAACCATAAAAAAAACCAGTTCAATACTTATATTTACGCTTTCTCTGCATCTTATGTTCTTTTTTAACTTATAATTTATATTTAAAATTAAAAATGACCGCCTTATCGACAGTCCAGACAATTTTGTTCAATAGTTTGAACAGCGTATTGTCGTGTGCTGATTGGCAAACAAAGTAGTACTTTGAAATATTAACAAACACTTCAATTTTATTCCACAATTCAGTATCAATACAATTGCGTATGATATGTCTATAGGGGGATTTAAGTTTATCAATAGAACTCTGCGCTGAAAGTTAGATTTGAAATTGTTTCGATTTTTCCCCGGAACAAATTTCGCGCATGGACAAATACAGTGAACACCGTAAATCCGACCTTGCCCTCCACGAGGAGTTATTTTTGGAAGTTAATTCGAACTTTTCTCTTTGCTCATTTTGTGAAGTTGTGTATCAGCGTGTATTTGTTGATTGTGTGTGAACCTGATAACAGTCGGTAGATTCTATAACATCCTCGTTATTTGACATGTCGTCAGAAACTGAGGTACCGTGGATGCGAGACGCGTGAAACTGATAGCGTTTGAAGTGAGTGATCTTGCGACAGAGCACAGGTTCGTTACAAATGTCTGAAATGTTTAAGTGTAATGTGACTCATATCAGTAGGTCTGTAACATATGTGTCAGTAGGTCTATAGAATATGTGTTTTTCAGACATGTGTAACGAACCTTGGTTGATCAGTGCAGTGTAACAGACGATATTTCTGATAAATTGCATGAGTGTTAAAATTGTTTCCATTGCCGGCATTGGTGATTTCAACCGATGTGCATTTTGTACGATATTGCATACCTTGGTCTTGTTTTCGTTGTAATAAACGTGTTTTTTTATTTAATTTTTTATTTTGCACATAAATTTACAATGACATTGTCAAATCTCACAATGCCCAGCAATATTTCAGCAGCCGTCATGTTTCTTTATATTGGATATTGTAGTTCCGGTCAATGTTGTATAAATACGCTAAGAATTATGTCTCGTGATGCAGGGTAATTAAAGTCCCATCAACGACACAGCTTTCAAAGAGGCTATATAGTGACAATGCCATGCAAATGTAAATATAAATATATAAAGTCCACTATTTGATCACGAATATGTAATGTTTTACGAATGAATTCAGTTGTCTTTGTAATTCATGTATCGTAAGGTGTCGGAATACTCATGTATTGATCGCTAAGTATAGGTAAATGTAATAAGTATTTATCATTAACTATTTATATACATCAAGTAACATAATAACAGCATATCGCTGTAATGATTTGTATGTCCAGATATTGCATATCGTGGTTCATAGTAAATATGTTTATGTAATGTATGTGAACTCTCATTTAAGTTAATATGTAATCGTGATAAATATAACAAATAGTAATGTACAACTGTTTGTGAGATTCGATAATTATATATTTTATTCCTTTACATTGTAGGGACTTTTCTGTATTCATTGAATAAACGACCGGAACATGAAAGTGGTATTTTCCCTCGTTTTTACACACACATTGTTTATTACCGAGTAACAATTAGTTAAACTAATATATCTTATCGGTACAAACATGTTTTATCTGAGTAACAATAAACGCACATTTTCGTATTTATTAGTAATCATAAATTTTAAATTAATACACAATTTGTATTAATAATAGGCTAAATGCTGATTTTCAAATCGAATTTACGAGAGCTCCAATTAAATGAGAATAGTAGTTAGAGCAATAAAACATACAGTGAACCAAACCCTGAATTGTCATCAGTTTTACCTTAACATCTTATGATATATTGGGATTTATTAATTAAAAGAATAAATCCTTTTTATTGCAGCGCATCCTTAGTATTGTTTATGTTGGGAAATGATGACTTATTACAAATAATAGGTCAAGCATCAATAGCTTTAGTAGATCTGGGTACTCCAGATGCTTGCATAGCATACAGCATAGTACAAGCGTCTGAGGGATAAAGAATTCGATCTTTTGGCGCGGAAAACAAAGATAAACGGTTTCGCCAAAAATCTGGGTATTTGATTCCGTGGAATTACTACTTTTAAAACATAAATTTAAGAATTTTAGTTCATGGATGTTTACTTAGGATGTTTAACAAGCAATTTATGTTACCCATCCCACCCATCCCATTGTTAGTAGAATTTTTGCTGCTGTTTGTGTAATTGTTATTGCAGGAGCTTGGAGGATTGGACTGTTGGAAGCTATTGTCGCGGCAAAAAGGAATTTCAGAGCTTTGGATTGGACAATGAACTATGGACACACTTTGGCTGACCACGGTGTTTTCCGTAATTTGCTTTGCCTTTCCACTGTGTTCAGGGTTTGGCGAAGCAGACTGAGGTCGACACAAGAACCATCAAGTGTGTGGTACTCCACGGGTACGTGTGCACCCGTTCACTGTGGTCAGGGACGGTTGAATTGATACACTTAAGTGCCTGTGAAGTAATTGTGTGGTCAGCCATACAGCCATTGGGCGGCGACCAATTGTGATCTGTAGTTGGATTGTCCTGCAGTGACTTGTGTGCCAATTTGGCAAGTATTTAAATCAATTATTGTCGCGGCCAGATTATGCCATCAAAAATAAAAAATGAAAAAATAAAATAAATATTAACAACAGAATCGCAGTTGTGTTTGTTTTTCTTATGCTGTCTGCAATAAATATATTGACCTCTCGTTTTACACAAACCGCATCTTAACATCTTATGATATATATACATCGACCTCTCGTTTTACACAGACCTCATGATAATGGACTGTCGTCTGTTCACACCTATTTGCTGATTGCGTGTGTTGATTGTTTTTACATTTAAAAAGGAGTTGATAAGATCGATTCCGATTATAAAGGCAGCACAAACGGAAATCGATTTAGCGTGTTTGTATACCATGATGAAGTGATACATTCATTATGGGAGAGTACATCAACATTTTATCATCTCCTTGGGTCTACTTATCATAGGTATTAATGATCTACCGAGTATACGTCATCAGCACCTCATTGACTATATTGTTGTCAATGGAAGTGTTTATGTTATCACTAGCCAAGCTCAATAGGAGTGTTATGTCGCCAAAGGTAAACACAATAGATCTTGCGTTTATATGAAGATGCATCCTACAAACTCACAAATAAAAGAAAACCAAAGAAATAGAAAATCAATTTGCAGAAAGGTTGGATTATGTTTACAATGCAAAACTTGTTTTCAAACATTATTTTGCTGGTTTTAATGTACACACAGGACCACACTAGAATAACTCAAATAATGATAGTAATGCATTTTGATAGTTGACATTAGAGATGAATAAACAATTATGCAGATACGTCGAATTTAGAATCTCCTGTAATAAGATAGTTGAACATGATTCTCTTCGGGGTGAAAAGAGGGCAGGAGTAGGTGGGGAGAGGGTGGCGGTGGTTGGGAAGTGCCTATACCATAAACGAGCGAGACTGAAGACAGCCTCTGATTTACCTAGGTAGATCCTCCCTGTAGCGTGGAGGCACAATGCCGGCCAGTCTAGTCCACAAAAAGGTTCGCGTTAGAACCCGAAACATGGTAAACAAGGTTCAGTGACAGACTTACCATCTGGATGGAGGTTTATGATATACTGTGGGTTTGAGTGGAAGGATTCACACTCGAGCCAACCTCCAGCGTTCAAATGAGACTTCCAGCCTCCTCTGATGCTTATCTGGTACTCTGAAAAAAGAAACACAATATCAGTATGAATCTCATAATAAATGAAGTAACTAGTTGCCAACATCAATCACAGAATATTAAATACTAAGTTTGTTTTGAACACAAACATGAATTGGAAACTTATTTTGCGAGCTTTCGAAACCTTCTGTTTCCTTTGTCAGACAAAGAGTTCAAGGACCAGTGTCTCGACTCTAAAACGTTACAAACAACTCCATCAACGAATATTATTGCAAATACATTGAAACCTGCAGGAGCTTTCCTAATTCTATTCAATTAGCTTGCTACTTCATAGGTGTGTATGACATATCAATAGGGAATGCTATACGGGATAATAAATACCTATTCCAAACGACATGTGGAAATAGGTTACTGCTACAGACAGTGATGTTTTTCGGGGTGGTCAAGAGGTGTTTAACAAGATTAGAAACTTTAATCAGACTACGCATGCGTCTCTGTTGTGATGGCATTTTGAATAAAACCATGATAGTATGGTTAATACTCTAATCTATATGATTCCTGTAGTCATTACACAAACAAAACATATAAAACAGCATCACCACATCTACACTTAAATACTGTATACCGGGAAATGTTTGCCGCAGTTTAACCTTAGCCTTTTTTACGGAGGAAATGTTTTCCGCAGTTTAACCTGAGCCTTTTTTACGGAGGAAATGTTTGCCGCAGTTTAACCTGAGCCTTTTTTTACGGAGGAAATGTTTGCCGCAGTTTAACCTGAGCCTTTTTTACGGAGGAAATGTTTGCCGCAGTTTAACCTGAGCTTTTTTTTACGGAGGAAATGTTTGCCGCAGTTTAACCTGAGCCTCTTTTACGGAGGAAATGTTTGCCGCAGTTTAATCTGAGCCTTTTTTAACGGAGGAAATGTTTGCCGCAGTTTAACATGAGCCTTTTTTTACGGAGGAAATGTTTGCCGCAGTTTAACCTTAGCCTTTTTTACGGAGGAAATGTTTGCCGCAGTTTAACCTGAGCCTTTTTTACGGAGGAAATGTTTGCCGCAGTTTAACCTGAGCTTTTTTTTACGGAGGAAATGTTTGCCGCAGTTTAACCTGAGCCTCTTTTACGGAGGAAATGTTTGCCGCAGTTTAATCTGAGCCTTTTTTAACGGAGGAAATGTTTGCCGCAGTTTAACATGAGCCTTTTTTTACGGAGGAAATGTTTGCCGCAGTTTAACCTTAGCCTTTTTTACGGAGGAAATGTTTGCCGCAGTTTAATCTGAGGCTTTTTTTACGGAGGAAATGTTTGCCGCAGTTTAACCTGAGCCTTTTTTACGGAGGAAATGTTTGCCGCAGTTTAACCTTAGCCTTTTTTACGGAGGAAATGTTTGCCGCAGTTTAACCTTAGCCTTTTTTACGGAGGAAATGTTTGCCGCAGTTTTACCTGAGCCTTTTTTACGAGGAAATGTTTGCCGCAGTTTAACCTTAGCCTTTTTTACGGAGGAAATGTTTGCCGCAGTTTAACCTTAGCCTTTTTTACGGAGGAAATGTTTGCCGCAGTTTAACCTTAGCCTTTTTTACGGAGGAAATGTTTGCCGCAGTTTAACCTGAGCCTTTTTTACGGAGGAAATGTTTGCCGCAGTTTAACCTGAGCCTTTTTTACGGAGGAAATGTTTGCCGCAGTTTAACCTGAGCCTTTTTTAACGGAGGAAATGTTTGCCGAAGTTTAACCTTAGCCTTTTTTGGGCGAAAGTGTGGCTTGTCTAAAATGAGCGAAATTGTGATTGGGCGAAAATGGGCGAAAGTGTGAATGGGCGAAATTTCTCGATACACGGTATATCGCAGTTCTAACACATGATGGTAACACATATGAGATGGTTTAAAATCTGGTCCGGATGACGAACATTTTATAGTTATTCTGCTTCAGGATGTTGAATATAGATCCATGCTATGGTATCAAAATAAAATTGTGGCATAAGTACACTTTCAAGTATAGCTATAGCGAAAACTGTTTAATGTTCTGTTATGTAAATAGCTTTTATCGGAATACTAATTATACCTAATGATTATCCTGACACTCCTGTTGTTTACAGTGCATTCTCACATCCAATTACGTTCAGCGCTAATCAATGGTAAATATTTTGTTTAACATCAAGGAAACACTCATAGGTGCAAAGAGTGTCTACTGTATCATAAATTTACAGTACTGTTAATTTTTTGCGTGGAACTCTAAATAACGAGGCAATTTATAATGATGACTTGCTCTTTTCTTGTCCTGGTTTGTTCCTTTCGTTGATCAGACAAGGGCTACCTGAGTCCGGTTCTATTGTCCAGACTCGTTAGAATAGCCTATGAATATTTTCAATATCGGCACCTGGTGGTTAAATTTGTAACAGAAAATCCGTGAACGGTAGAACGTTTCGTCTCAACAATATTATGCAATAACCATATTCTTTACCTTTCTCTGTCTTTAAAACAAATATCATTGGCAGATATGATTTATTTCTAAATTACATTAATCTGTACCAAGCTCCAGCGCTCATAAAGAGAATTATCGAGTTTGTCGCATTGATTTCATATGGGGAATCAAAGCACGTGTTGGTCGGTTGATGGGACCATCACCGATGACGTCAATGGTTACCATGGTATCCTGGTGGCTGGTTACACGTTTGTTCAAAATCGTTGATTGACATTGAGACTTTATAGACATTCATACAGTTGACAACAATGAGTCAGATGTATCCATCCTTGTGTGTTTTAATACAACAATGAGTCAGATGTACCCATCCTTTGTGTGTTTTAATACAACAATGAGTCAGATGTATCCATCCTTGGGTGTTTTAATACAACAATGAGTCAGATGTACCCATCCTTTGTGTGTTTTAATACAACAATGAGTCAGATGAATCCATTATTGTGTGTTTTAATACAACAATGAGTCAGATGTATCCATCATTGTGTGTTTTGATACAACAATGAGTCAGATGTATCCATCCTCATGTGTTTTAATACAACAATGAGTTAGATGTATCCATCCTCGTGTGTTTTAATACAACAATGAGTCAGATGTATCCATCCTTGTGTGTTTTGATACAACAATGAGTCAGATGTATCCATCCTTGTGTGTTTTAATACAACAATGAGTCAGATGTATCCATCCTTGTGTGTTTTAATACAACAATGAGTCAGATGTATCCATCCTTGTGTGTTTTAATACAACAATGAGTCAGATGTATCCATCCTTGTGTGTTTTAATACAACAATGAGTCAGATGTATCCATCCTTGTGTGTTTTAATACAACAATGAGTCAGATGTATCCATCCTTGTGTGTTTTAATACAACAATGAGTCAGATGTATCCATCCTTGTGTGTTTTAATACAACAATGAGTCAGATGTATCCATCCTTGTGTGTTTTAATACAACAATGAGTCAGATGTATCCATCCTTGTGTGTTTTAATACAACAATGAGTCAGATGTATCCATCCTTGTGTGTTTTAATACAACAATGAGTCAGATGTATCCATCCTTGTGTGTTTTAATACAACAATGAGTCAGATGTATCCATCCTTGTGTGTTTTAATACAACAATGAGTCAGATGTATCCATCCTTGTGTGTTTTAATACAACAATGAGTCAGATGTATCCATCCTTGTGTGTTTTAATACAACAATGAGTCAGATGTATCCATCCTTGTGTGTTTTAATACAACAATGAGTCAGATGTATCCATCATTGTGTGTTTTAATACAACAATGAGTCAGATGTATCCATCCTTGTGTGTTTTAATACAACAATGAGTCAGATGTACCCATCATTGTGTGTTTTAATACAACAATGAGTCAGATGTACCCATCCTTGTGTGTTTTAATACAGTTGACAACAATGAGTCAGATGTATCCATCCTTTTGTGTTTTAATAACTTTTTATCCATGCTTATTGAAAATACACCACATAAACGAATTCCGTTTTAATATCATGCAAAAATCGGTAGTGGTAAAGCTGTTTCTGTGGGTTTTTTTAGATAAATGCTTCCGCCTCGATATATATTATGTGGCTGTATATGTACCGTTTGTCATGTTTAGGTTTTCATTTCACCTCTGTCATGTCATTATTTTTTTTATTTTTTTTGTTTGTTGGTGTTTTACGTCCTATTGACAGCTATGATCATTTAAGGACGTGTCAGGTTTTGGTGTTGGGGGAAAGCCGGAATTCCCAGAGAAAAAACACCGACCTACGGCCAGTACCTGGCGACTGCCCCACGTGGGCCTCGAACCCGTGACCCAGTGTCGGAAGGCTAGTGGTAGCACGAACCCATGACCCAGTGTCGGAGGGGTAGTGGTAGCACGAACCCGTGACCCAGTGTCGGAAGGCTAGTGGTAGCACGAACCCGTGACCCAGTGTCGGAGGGGTAGTGGTAGCAGAATGTCAGATGCCGTAACCAATTGGCAACTTGGCCACCGCGTGCGCAGTTGTATTTATAACCTCATTTACGTGACGCCTTCAGCATAAGCTGATCATTATCGCACTGTTTACAGTAAGGGGGTATACATATTGCTTTCTTTTCTTCTGTATGGAATATTTCTGTTGTTTTCAAAACAAATAAAAAAATGAGGACACCCTATAAAGATGGACGTAGCACACACATAGGCGACTGCAGCTTTACAGTTTGGTAATAGATACAGTTTGACAAAAAGAATTATACTGCAATATACAGCTGATATGTATTTCGACAAATACTTGCGTACCTATCGACAGACGGCTTCACCATCTAGTCAATTGCTTCGTGCTCAAAGGCAGTTATCACCCCATTATCTGTCAAAAAGTTGACACTTTTCCTTAAACATCATGAAATAATGTTAATGGGTACCGTCTCACCTGCTTTATCGCTGATACCGTCGTGATCAAAGTCAGGAGACAGGTTACATATGATCATATTGCAATATTCCCGCCTGAAGTCCCTAAAATTCATCCAGAATTCCCCGTCATCTTGTGTGGTGAGCTCGAGGTCTTGTTTTATATCCTCTATCACTCGGTCCCATTCGTCACTCCTGTCGTGTACAATTCGAAGTTATAGGATGTTAAAACAGGTAGCCATTGATTAAATTAAAGATTGACGAAAACAATTTGATTGTCTGGTTGATTGAATTATTGAATGATTGTTTATATGGTTGTATGAGTCATTGATTAAATAAAAGATTGAACAAAAATGACTGATTGAATGATTACTTGGTTGATTGATTAATTCATTAATTGAATTATGAAAGGACTGATTGTCTTATTGAACGAAAGATTGATTTTAATTTTATGGATTGATTGTATGATTGATAAATTGTATGATTAATAAATTGTATGATTGATAAATTGTATGATTGATAAATTGTATCATTCATGAATTGTTTGATTGATAAAATTGATGATTGCTAAAATACATTATTGATTAATTGCAGATGGATTTCTCCAATGCTTGATTTATTGATCATTCCATTCGTTAATTCATTCATCGATTAATTGATATGGGTTGAATGACATAGAAAGGTCATACAGGTTTAGACGGTAGAATAATGGTAGCAGAAAACAAAATAAGTTAGGCACAATTAAGGTACCTTTAGAGGCGTATCAAACAAATAATGGGCTAGGCAAAATAGTAGAACTATATGCTAGGCAAAATGGTAGAACTATATGCTAGGCAAAATAATAGAACTATATGCTAAGACAGCAACAATAAATAAAAGGTATGAAGGCGTTACGTACCCGTCGGACCACGCCCCGTTCCATTCTGTGTCCCCCCAGGGGTTACGGACACGAATGAGTTTGGCCGTTGAGTCGAGGTATGGTATCTCCTCTACGCCCGTGATGACGTAGGAATGGTTAGAAACCATGCCTTTCTTCTCCCTCTCAGTTCGCCCCTCCTTATCCTGATGTGAGTAAACAGAATCACTGGTTATGTCTCAGTTGCTTTTATTTCCAGCTTAACTCTTCTGCAGAAAATGTCAACATATAGCTGATAATTTTCAGGCAAACCCTTTCATATAAAGGGTGAAATGTTTTCCATGTATCGGAATAATTCCCTGATTATTCTTATTGAAATTTACAGATATTTGTTACATTTGCTCCTCGTCAACATACCGCTCTGTTTCAAACACACCCGGATCAGTAATTGATATAAAAGAACAAGTACATGCATTTCTGAATTGATTTGATCAATATTAAATATTGTTCAAAGTTAGTTTCCACGGTTCGGTTAACTTGTATGGAGTAAAACTTTTACGGGATTTACGAAAATGTGTATTGTTTCCTAATATTATAACATCAGATGATATGCCGTCATGACTTAAAATTCGAATCAGTATATCACATGGCTAACATCCCACGTCATTAGCCCTTTGAGTCACTTGTAGCCAATCACAACACTACGTACCACGCTGAGACAGCCAATCACTGCCCCGCATTGGTAAGCTGCCCGGATGAGATAAAAGTCTTGTTCTCGTAGGTCAGTGGGGTTGTACCATTCGGCAAGACCTCCGGTCAAATCAGTAAAGGCATCGGCTTCAAACCCGTATTCTAGCGCCTCGTAGGATTTATTTAATCTGTAAAGAAAGGTCAAATCAGATCATGCAAACTATGCGAACTTTAGTTTCAGTTGAAATAAAAAGTATTCTCGGATTCTGATTCAGTCCTTGAATTATTGAGCTGGCCGTTAATTGACCTTTCGTTTTGTATAATAGGTGTAAACCCTGGTAGTTAATGGGGATACACAACTGGTACGGAACAAGCTTCCAATTATTCACACTCACAAGCTACTGCCCTAATTCAATATTTGCTATATAATAAGATTATGACAGACTTTCTCATTTTCTCGGAGATACTCTGATATTTTGTACAGGTCCGTGCCAAATAACTGTCAGAAGGACGTCCATCCCAGCGGACGTGGTCAATAGTTTGCCTCTACCCATCGAAAGTGCAATATGCTTTACATTCTGAGAGAAGGCGATGGTAACTTGTAATTTTCTCTGCTAGGCTCCATTTGTGATATTTTGAGATATGAAGGTATTGATTCATAATCAATGTATTATAGTCTCACAAAAATGGATTTTAATGAAGATCTATATCAAAGTTAATGAATATGGTATAGTGTCTTTTAATTTGACTAAATCAATAGAGCAAAAAAAAACTTTTCCTTTCCCAGGTATTGAGAAAGTTGAGACAAATGACAGGTTCATTTGCATTCGTTTTGAATCCTATGCCTTCTAATGACTTCTAACGACTTCTAATGACTTTTGATGACTTCTAATGACTTCTAATGAAGTCTGTTGGGGTCTACCTGGTATTTTTCGTTTTGAATCAATCAATGTTCACGGCTTTATAAACTTTTAACAATAATCATTAATGTTTTCCTCCCTTTGTTACGCTCACTAGCAAAAATATTGAACAAATTTTCCAGATCGTCTTATAAGCTGATATTTATGTCAACGGCAAACGAGAATGTTTAATGAAATGATCTTAAAACAAGCATCGATTTGCTGCCAAAACTAAACTTTTGTGCTAATTTACATTACATAAGTTATATTTTCGCCGTATTTCGCAAGGAGACTCGTTAGCGAATTTAACCATCCGCGAATAATAGTTTCATAGACAAGTTTTTTGTTGCTTTTTTTCCCAATATTTTATTCCCCCAGCCAATTTTTTCACAAATATGTATATACGTATACTGCTTCCAAGCAGATATATAATATATACATATATAGTTTAAGTTTAAACATATTTTATTGACAACATATGCTGTGCATATTACCATTTTGTGAGATGTTGGGGTCACCTTTACAAAGAATATCTACGTTTATGCCTTCGTGCCATTCTAATTCGGTAATGAGTGTTCTTCGTAAATTAGAGTACAAAGGACAAATAGGAAAAAAACGATAACAATCTTCACAGGGATGCCCACAACCGCAATCAGCTGAACCGACTAGAAAAAAAAGTTATATACATGTTTATAAACCAAACGCCAAAACAGTTTTCGAATACAGCTTATCAATGAAATCGGTCTGTAATTGGAGGTAATACTTGCATCATTCGCTTTATAGATAGGCATGACATGGGCGATTTTCCAGTTATCAGGATATGTACAAGCAGACCGAGAATAATTAAAAATAATGGATAGCGGTACAGAAATCTCGCTAGATAATAATTTGAGCATTTTATGGCTAATACCGTCAGGACCTGATGCCTTATTTACATCTAGAATTTTTATAATATCTTCAACTTCACTGGGAATTATATTTATTTCTGATAAGATGGAGTCAGTCTCTCCTCTCAAAAAAAGGCAATTCTTTGTCTGTATCAATTTCTGATAACGAACACACAGAACTAAAGTAGTTATTTAAGGGTTCACATTTTCTATCGTTGTGATAGAATATTTCATTTGTTGTACCGTCTAATAACGGGGATATTTCGGTGTTCTTTTTAGCTTTAAGAATATTTCGGAGAAGTTTCCAATAACTCTTAGGATTGTTGTTACATTTATCAATTACTGTATTTATGCTATCATAAAATATTTCTTTAGCTCTCTTAATCATATTATTTTACTTTATTTCTCATGTATTTGTACTTATTTTTGTTGCACTCACTGTTATTGTTAAACAGTATTTTTTTAAGTCTATCTCTTTTCCTAATATTACGTCTTAACGATCCATTCATCCACGGTTTATCACTAACACGTACTAATACTACTTTTGATGGTACACATTTGACAACGGCATCAACAAATTTCTCGGTAAAGAAATTGCACTTTTCATTAACATTTAATAAGTTAGCAAGATTGGCTAACCAAGGGATACTATTTATCGTGTCTTTAAGTTTGTTGACATCAGCTTGGTCGTATAACCACACCTTTCTTTTAAAATAATGTTTAATTTTAGCAGGAATATTCACAATTGCAAAAACAGCATCATGATCGCTAATAGTTCGCTCAATTTCAATAACATCAGAAAAGCATGGGGTTTGGGGGGTGGGGGAGNGTTGCATCGCTAACATTTTCAAGATCGTTTCTCCGCTTCGCTACGAGTGATTCAGAAAAATACATATATATATATGCCAGGGTTGGGGAACCCTGGAGTAAGCCCCTGAACAATATGGTGTCCTCACGCAGGAGGGTTCTCATTCAACAATCATCAGTCAAACACAAAATAAATAAATGGGAAGGGCGATAGGTATAAAATATTTGCAAATAGAGTTCAGGACAAGAACACCCTAACAAATTCCATATACAACATAATATTACAAACAAGGATAAACATAGCAAGTCTAGTATACACACAAAAAAACATAATACACATACAAATACATCCACATCTATACTCATACACACATACATATATACATGAGACAGACATACATACATACATACATACATACAGACAGACACAGACACCGACCGACACCAACAGGCAGACAGACAGGCAGGCAGACAGACAGACAGACAGACAGTACATGCATACATACATATACATTGAGACAGACTTACATACATTGAATCAGATGCATCATTATGCACGCATAGACAAGTACTGTTAATATTGATATCAGATTCCACAGTCGCGAATTCAAGTATTGCAAAATAATAATCAAGAAAAAGTTAGCAACATAAAGTATATTAAGGAATAAAAACATTTACTGTAACTAGACATCACTTCCGGAAAAACAATTTTAGCTGAGGGATTGTAACATTGAATGGAGAAGACATTATGCGCATATCAACGTGAATGTGATAGTTGAAATGATGTCGAATTTATCATAGCAGCATTGACGTAACCACTTGGTTTTGTTTTAAATTACTAATCAATGTTGCAGTCTGCAATAAAAGTTAAATGGTGTATGGAACTACTGCAGAAAGGAGCTAACATAGTCCGAGATTGATGTAAAACGTGATTTCAAAGTGAGAACTGATGACAAATAACTCACAAGCAAATACTCTTTGTAATTATCTTATGAGTCAATAATTTCACCAGATAATAGGGGTGTACAGGTTGCTATTCGCTTAATTGCGTATTGAAATTATTATGGAAAAGAATTAAGTGATTTTATCGTCAAAGCACATCGCATCCCAAGGGTTGTCAACACATGTTTGTTTTACAGGAACGTTTCGTTTGATCATCTCCACCTAGTGTCAGTGAATGGAGCGTGGCATTGAATGGCGTTTGATCATATCCACCTAGTGTCAGTGAATGGAGAGTGGCAGTGAATGACTTTTGACCATCTCCACCTAGTGTCAGAGAATTGAGCGTGGCATTGAATGACGTTTGATCATATCCACCTAGTGTCAGTGAATGGAGAGTGGCATTGAATGACGTTTGACCATCTCCACCTAGTGTCAGTGAATGGAGAGTGGCATTGAATGAAGTTTGATCATATCCACCTAGTGTCAGTGAATGGAGCGGGGCATTGAATGACGTTTGATCATCTCCACCTTGTGTCAGTGAATGGAGCGTGGCATTTAATGACGGTTGATACCACTCCACCTAGTGTCAATGAATGGAGCGTGGCATTTAATGACGGTTGATACCACTCCACCTAGTGTCAATGAATGGAGCGTGGCATTCAATGACGTTTGATACCACTCCACCTAGTGTCAATGAATGGAGCGTGGCATTTAATTACGTTTGATACCACTCCACCTAGTGTCAATGAATGGAGCGTGGCATTCAATGACGTTTGATACCACTCCACCTAGTGTCAATGAATGGAGCGTGGCATTTAATGACGTTTGATCATCTCCAACTAGTGTCAGAGAATGGAGCGTGGCATTGAATGACGTTTCATACCACTCCACCTAGTGTCAATGAATGGAGCGTGGCATTGAATGAAGTTTGATCATCTCCACCTAGTGCCAGTGAATGGAGAGTGGCATTGAAGGACGTTTGACCATCTCCACCTAGTTTCAGTGAATGGAGAGTGGCATTGAATGCCGTTTGATCATCTCCACATAGTGTCAGTTAATGGAGCGTGGCATTGAATGGCGTTTGACCATCTCCACCTAGTTTCAGTGAATGGAGAGTGGCATTGAATGACGTTTGATACCGCTCCACCTAGTGTCAATGAATGGAGCGTGGCATTGAATGACGTTTGGTCCATTTGAATACCGGTGGGAATTTAAGCTATGATTATCCGTACTAAAACTCAGTGCCACCGCTATTGTTTTTTAAAAATAATTCCTGTCGAGGGCACCTGGCTCTTTTTAAATAAAGAATAATCACTAGAAAAAAAGTAATCAAGAGCACCTATATGACATTTATTATGTGAACATATACTACACCATATGACCACTTCGTCCATTTTGAACTCAACAGTATAACTTAAGGTTAAAAACCTTATAATGTTAAAAACACAATGTATGGCTACACCAGGTAAGTGTTTTAGTATCTAGTATTTCACATCTACCAGAATGTATTAGAGGTCCAAGGGTACAGTGAACTTCAAACTTCTCCTGGGTACGTATTCATAAAACCGTTCTCATGCTCAAGCATGGATTTTGCTCAAACCAACTTTCATATAACTAACTTAAAGCATGTCAAACGATCAAAACGTCAAATGAAAACAGCGAAAACAGTATTCAGGTTTTGGCTCTTAAAAGTTTTTTTTATAACCGGAACAATTAATCAGGCTTGAGCACAAAACCCATGCTTGACCATGAGATGGTCCAATGAATACGGACCCAGGCCTTTTTTTGTCTGGTCTAGTGACTGATGCCAAATATGAATTCATTGAATAGAGCGTAAAGTATTTGACAAGAAAAAAAATGCTGTATTAACTTTTTCCTTTGATACGTACTTAGCATAGGCTTTCTCCACAAGCGAAACCCAGAACTCGCTTGGATCTGACGAATGAGCAAACAGGATTTCTCCATCGACAGTGGGTAATCGATCGTCGATGTAAATGTCTATCCACTTGTCGAACTGCCAGAAACGACAGTGGAATCTACCGTCATACTCAGGAGTTCCAAACGTATTGTCACTCGGAATTATCTGTCAATGAAAAAAAAATACAAAAATGACAACCGCTTCTCAAAAACTCCGATAGATTACATATGATTCTTTAACAAAACAAGAAAAAACCTTAATGTAACCAAAACTTAAAACCGATGAAACTTAGGAAAATAACAAACGAATATCAGGACCCAATTGTTCAAAATGTGATTAGCTTAATCAGTGATCAGCACAAATCTTAATTTTGTGCATCTTAAAGACACAACCCATTGGATAAGTTACAATTCCATACATCAAATATTTAGTTGAGTGAATTTACATACAAAATTGTGAGATTTTACGTTGTAAAAATGTCGTCAAACAGTGATTAAGCTAACCACTGGGCATAGGTGTTCCAGAATGGTTCATGTAGGAGACTTTAATTTCATTAACGACATCTGCCATTAAACACCCATCGACATGAATTTGATATTGATTCATAAGAAAACAGTATGCAATTATTATTGTATAGTCGTTTTTATTTCCGTTAACTGAGAAATAAACAATTACTTCTGGAATAGTTTTCGGCGCGGAAATGCTTACTAGAAACTGTCATTAGCGACGGATGCATTGTAGCTGTATTCTTGTCTGGTTGTTTGAACGCGTTCGATAATTGTACGATCAGGTGACCTTCGTTTTTAATGTGTAACCTTATTAACCCAGTCGTAATCACCAACAATAGAGTGAAGTACATCACATATACGCCTCCGTACAGCAATCGAACCAACAGAAAGTACGGCAAAAGTTCCGTGAGAAGAACCATAAAAAACAGGTACTGTATATTGTAATAGCTAACTACAGTACTCTGCTTTAAGACACGCATTACCGATGAATTGGTATCTGAACCAAATATATTTTAAGCCGCGTTCAATCAAAAACTCCGTTTTAGTATTTAGAAAATTGAATAAAAAAATGTCAAGAATATTTCCAATTGTAATAATTTTGAATTTTATTTTATTATTTCCAATATATAATTAAAATTATATAAGAGTGAAATACTGGAAATGGTATAAACTGTTTCCAATAACTCAACAATGGTGAGTACGACGGTGAACATTCTAGATAGATTTGAAAATATTGCTTTCCGAATATTAATTGAAATAAAATAGTACATGTTGTCTAGCCTGTCCAATTATTAATAAAATGCTGTAATTCTATTGAACAAAGACAAAACCAGGGCAAAGTATGAACAAAGGAAATATTTACACGGAGAACCTGGGGATACCAGGAGAAATGGACCGGATGTACAGAAAGGGTGAGTGTTTTCTGCTTCATTTACAACACCCGTCTTCACGTCCTCAAAATAGAACAACAAAACAACAAGGCAGAGTAATGAGCATAATAAAAATATCGACCTTCATATCACACAAGGACATAGCATATTCCCCACGAGATCATGATGGCGGTCATAAACCTTACCATGGTCAGCCTTAATCTGTATTTCTCGAAACCACGTGTTGTAATGACGATGCCAAACCGTACAAAGTCAAATTTAATACATAAATTCATAAATAAAGTAATGAAGTGTGATTTTGCTGCTAAGCAAAATTAAATCTTGTTGTATAAGTTTCGTACAACCCAACGACGGTTAAGCTTGGTGCTGTAGACTATGCATGTATATTGTTAATCGACGGAAATAGTAATTAACATTTTTTTTTATTCAAAGCATGAACAATGTTTGCGTCAGAATAATTAATGAATCATACAGGTTACTGTTGGGATCCACTGGTATGATGGATGAAACGGTCGTCAAGTTCACGTCAAGGTGAAGACATAACCACAGTAACGTCACCGTAATCTTGGCGAACGCTCTATGCTACAGTAAACTTAATGGTATGGAGGGTGGTAATTGTTTTTGCTCGTGCACCTAATTGCTGCATCGGGTTCCTTAATGTAGGAGATCATGTAAAGCTCGGGACCGGTGATAAATGGCGCCGGCAGATCGAGAATTCACTGGAAGATAAGTCACTGTTTAATTGTTGGTTACCCTTTAGCGGCGTGGCACGCTGATATAAAAAATCTAACTCGATTGTGTAGTCTCGTCATGCATCAACCATGCACTACAGAATATGTGTCTCCCCTGACACTAATCTATGTCGTAAATTGTGTAATTGGTTGTAAAGTCTATCTGACTGCGCTGGTAGAATAGCTCAGTATTCACCATTCTTGTTGCATGGCGAAATCGAGGTCGTAAGATGTAAATATAGTCATGCATAGTCCAGGAAAGTTATTCAAACAATGAAATATTTATCATATAGACATTCAAAAAGCAATTTATCTCACTTTTACTTAAGCATTGACCGGAAACTTTTACTTTCGGCTGATAAAAAATAGTTATAAATGCTATATGCTGTTCTGGGAGTTTCAAAAAATCGTACCCATATATTCCACTGAATACTTTTTTGGTTGTAAGAAAATATAATTCACAGATTTTTTTTTATAAAAAAAATTGGTTGGTTCAGTGGTCGAGCCGTTGACTTTCAATACAGTAATACAGGGTTCGATTCCCAGAGGATTTCCTTCCCATCCTATAACCAAAATAGTTGCTGCCTCGAACAACATCAATCAGAGGTCACCTCCTCTAGAACCGAACAAGAAGACTGAGTTAACGAGATACCGAATATTTAACTGACCCCATTAGAACGCATGCTTATTTTTGAAGCTGTTTTTTGCTATTGTTCATACTGAAGGTGTGTTTCAATTGTTCATCAGTTTGACTGTACAGTATTAAACAAAACTAGAAGTTCAGCCTCACCTTGTCCATGAGTTGTGGTTTTTCAGCAATGGCGGACAGCGTAGACAAGAACCAACAGTCGTTCAGCTCACCCTGTTTCATGTCGTGTCGACTGGTGCCATCTGATACGAGAACGGCATCTGCAGAAATCTCCTGGTTGAATAATAAAAAAAAAATCATAAAAGCTATAATAATATGCATATTATATTACAAGACAAATATTTACAGCATTGTTTTACAGGTCATAAACGAAAATTTTCTCCTAAAAAAACTCAATGGTTTTCAAAAGATTAATATTGAAAAATGCATTTTAGCGTCAATACTCAAAACCAACATTGGATCTCTGAGTCGAATAGGTACCATCAAGAACTAAGTATGATTTTCAAATCATTGCGGTATTATGTTGTCATTTTATATATATTTTATTGTAATTACTTTAAATAGTAAACAAACACTACATCGTCATTACACAATAACATCCTCAGTCATATTTACCAACAGTAGGAACTGAGGAGAATCAAAAATAAAAGAAAGCGTCTTAAACCAAAATAAAACTAAAAATAAATCCAGGTGTTCCAGAAGAATAGGCGTTTACTGCATTACATAGGAACCCGCCATGATGCTTCCTTACAAATCTAGGAAATGAAGTCACCAACAATCTGAAACCTTAATTACGGAGGAGACTGTAGTTCCATCGTTACGTTTGACATGTTAACTACCCGTACTTACATTTGACATGTTAACTACCCGTACTTACGTTTGGTCTTTTCCAAACTACGGTCTTCGTGATTGGTTTGTGTCGGAAAAGAGATTTATTTTCAGCCGGGAAGTCGGTATCAATAAAAAAGCTGTCACCACGGTTCTTACCATTTCGGACTCTCTGAAATAAAAAATAATAATAGTCGGTCAAGTTTGGTTGATTAATCAAAATTCATGGAGCACATATTCTTAGAAGAGTCGCACGGTCGCTGTTAGCTGGTGTGAGAAATAAATATATATGTACAAATTATCTTATTCACGTTGAGCACAAAATGTCAAACTAGTGCAGGCATGTAAATTGTCCAACATACATAGATCGGAGTTTTCTATAGTTTTAGCTTGGTGGATTATGTATAGACCCGCAATGTCACTTAAGAACACTATATCTGTAGTGTAATGGGAGTTATTTTTAAATCTATTGACAAAATGGGTCTGTATCAATTAATACAGTGTCTTATCTCCATACCTACGATACCACTGATAGTAATTGGTTTGGTAAAGTTTAACCTGACATTTTCGAATTTATTTTCCATTTTCAACGGTTAGCTTATAATCAAGAAAAGCAAATAATTTAAGATTGAATAGAAAAAGAAGAAAACATCAGAAAAAAATGAAGAGAAAAGAAAGCCAAACTTCAAGTAGTAACAACTAAAGAAAATGTCCACACTGCACTATTATCAACATCCTGTGTATGATGTTTTTTTTATACATTCTTTAAAACTTCAAATATTCGCTCATAAATATATATAATTAACATAAATATCTCAAATGACTATTTAAGTTATTAACTGAAATTTCAAACTCAGCATTCTTTGAAAAAACCCAAGATATTTACCTCTAATTCCTTCCAAATTATGAAAGCAAGAAAAAAGACAGAAGAAAAGTTTAACAGGCAGTTAATCAGATAGAAATAGATCTTAGTATTGAGCATCCAGAACTTCTCGGACTTTTTCATCAAAAGGCCGATGACAATACATATGGTTCCGAATGTCTTGTTTATCAATTAACAAACGCGATTTTTTAATGAGACGGAGACAGAAACAAACCCTAGCAATGTTGTAATTCTTTTTCGCGAATATTTCTTTAAACATTAAGACTGATTCGAGCCTTTGATATGTGATTATTTTAATTCACTTTAGAGAAAGGCTAAAGTATATGGATCCCATGTTTTAATTTGTCAAAATATATTAGCTTGAGATGTTGGAATTCGCGACAAATCGTCTTCGTAAGTAGATTAAATTAAAAATAAATGGATCTGCAGTAAACCGGAAGTAAAATCTGGCAATGTCATTCTGAGTCTGCGTGTTCTTGGCTAAAAGTCAATCATTCGTACTAAATAAAACGATCATTTAATTTGGTTCCTTGTCACTTCGTTACATAGATTGGACTTTCACTCGCATGCTGATCACAGGATGTTTAATTTCCGCTTTAATCATACGCAGGGACCCTTGAGACTTTGCAAATATTTGCCAAACGGTTTCGGCTACGTTCGAACAACATTTTAAATTAATACTCGCGGATAGAAGTCGACTTAGTGACTAGCCTGTGACATTGTATATATATATGAAGTTTTTGCTATCAGAGCGTTCTATTTGTAACAGGTACACGCCCAAAGCAATGCCCTTGATATGTTTATAGTTCTGAGACAGTGGCATTTGTCAGAAACAATCTTTTAGCATCTCATGATTAAACAAGGTAATAGCATGCATTTTATTAAAATGTTCCGGGATAAAAATACGGTTGATTTTTAAATATTGACAAATATAACATATAATTCATTACTTTATTGAAATACCAATTTCGCAGATAACCTCAACTTATTTTCATTTCTCGTGAAAAACAACAATAACGGTGAATAGTTTCACTACATAATTCGCCGATAGGAGATATGAAGATAATTACATCAATCTATAAATCGAATTGCTCTCTGTGGAAGGAAAACTGTAATATAATCATACAAATCATCACAAACAAAGTAGGAAACTATGCACCGCTACCATCCATTAACAAAGTAGGAAACTATGCACCGCTACCATCCATTAACAAAGTACGAAACTATGCACCGCTTCCATCCATTAACAAAGTACGAAACTATGCACCGGTACCATCCATTAACAAAGTACGAAACTATGCACCGCTACCATCCATTAACAAACAGTAGTTAAATCCAACATATACTCGCTGGAGCAGTTAATAAAGATAAGATTCTGTTCTTGATTCAAGAATTTATAATGTGTATGTAAGTGTCTTAGAAATCGTTTCAAGCGTTAGATTGTACCGGAGTATTCCAATACAACAGATTATATGCGATGTATGTAATCAAGACAAGCGTTTGAAGGATTCGATTTTAATGGTCGAGTGTTTCGGAAATACTAGCTGCTTTGCCATAATGCTGATTTTTACTGCTGATGTTACCTTGAGGAACAATAGCGCGTTCTCATCCACTTTGATTTTATTTTACTAGATTTGTTTTTCTAATAATGTCTTATTTTTTCCCCATTTAAAATGTTTTATCAAATAAGAAAGGAATCAAAGACATACCTGAAATGAATCTAGTAAATAATAATTAAAGGAAAAATCGTGTTAGACATCATTCTAACAAACCTCATTTATAAATTGATTGGTATCCGTGTTGAGAACATGATTTTCCCCTTAAAATCTAGCCCTGGTCTGGTATATTTCCATTGAAATCGATCAACAGTCTTTGGAATCATATCGTTTTTCGGTTGATATTATTTTTACAAGCATGGGCAGGTTTAGCGGAACATTACAGTTCGTGATAACATCTTCACGTGAAGTCGGTCTCGTGCAGGTTTGAAATAATCCGGTACCTGTATTGCAAAGGGTTAGGAAAAGTACATTTTAGGAAGAGAGAAACTAAGCTTGTTCTAAGTTTTTTCTTGTATTCCCAAACGATTACACGTGCGTGAAATATGCGAGTTCGTGCAAAATAACCCCCTAAGGGGGTAGCAAAGGGACAATGTCTGGATACTGTTTAACACGAAATATTCGTGGGCACTTTCCTTCGTGGTTTGAAGTCATTTAGATTGTTTCGTGGTACAAACTTTTAACATTTTTAACACACAGTAGACAGGTATATCATTCAAATTCGATGTATTTATTTTCTTGGTTCAATAACAACCACGAAAACCACGAATGTTTATACACAGCGAACATTTCAGTACTGTGTGTGAGGAGAGGAGCTGGCTGTTGTCTGAATAGTATGCTTGAAGAAAAATAGACACTCTCTAGATATTGCGTGTAGCGATTGAGGGATACTGTCTGAATGTTTTGTGTGAGGAAAGAAAGACACTCTCTAGATATTGCGTGTAACGATTGAGGGATACCGTCTGAATGTTATGTGTGAGGAAAGAAGTACGTTGTCTAGAGATAGTGTGTGAGGAAAGAAAGACACTCTCTAGATATTACGTGTAACAATTGAGGGATACTGTCTGAATGTTATGTGTGAGGAAAGAAGACACTCTCTGGATATTGCGTGTAACGATTGAGGGATACTGTCTGAATGTTATGTTTGAGCAAAGAAAGACACTCTCTAGATATTGCGTGTAACGATTGAGGGTTACTGTCTGAATGTTATGTGTGAGGAAAGAAGTACGTTGTCTAGAGATAGTGTGTGAGGAAAGAAAGACACTCTCTAGATATTGCGTGTAACGATTGAGGGATACCGTCTGAATGTTATGTGTGAGGAAAGAAGTACGTTGTCTAGAGATAGTGTGTGAGGAAAGAAAGACACTCTCTAGATATTGCGTGTAACGATTGAGGGTTACTGTCTGAATGTTATGTGTGAGGAAAGAAGTACGTTGTCTAGAGATAGTGTGTTAAGAAGGAAAGACACTCTCTAGATATTGCGTGCAACGATTAAGGGATACTGTCTGAATGTTATTTGTGAGGAAAGAAGTACGTTGTCTAGCGATAGTGTGTTAGGAAAGAAAGACACTCTCTAGATATTACGTGTAACAATTGAGGGATACTGTCTGAATGTTATGTGTGAGGAAAGAAGTACGTTGTCTAGAGATAGTGTGTTAGTAAAGAAAGACACTCTCTAGATATTGCGTGTAACGATTGAGGGTTACTGTCTGAATGTTATGTGTGAGGAAAGAAGTACGTTGTCTAGAGATAGTGTGTTAAGAAAGAAAGACTCTCTCTAGATATTGCGTGCAACGATTGAGGGATACTGTCTGAATGTTATGTGTGAGTAAAGAAAGACACTCTCTAGATATTGCGTGTAACGATTGAGGGATACCGTCTGAATGTTATGTGTGAGGAAAGAAGTACGTTGTCTAGAGATAGTGTGTTAGTAAAGAAAGACACTCTCTAGATATTGCGTGTAACGATTGAGGGTTACTGTCTGAATGTTATGTGTGAGGAAAGAAGTACGTTGTCTAGAGATAGTGTGTGAGGAAAGAAAGACACTCTCTAGATATTACGTGTAACGATTGAGAAGGAAAGACACTCTCTAGATATTGCGTGCAACGATTAAGGGATACTGTCTGAATGTTATTTGTGAGGAAAGAGGGACGTTGTCTAGAGATAGTGTGTTAAGAAGGAAAGACACTCTCTAGATATTGCGTGCAACGATTAAGGGATACTGTCTGAATGTTATTTGTGAGGAAAGAAGTACGTTGTCTAGAGATAGTGTGTTAAGAAAGAAAGACTCTCTCTAGATATTGCGTGCAACGATTGAGGGATACTGTCTGAATGTTATTTGTGAGGAAAGAAGTACGTTGTCTAGAGATAGTGTGTTAGTAAAGAAAGACACTCTCTAGATATTGCGTGTAACGATTGAGGGATACTGTCGGAATGTTATGTGTGAGGAAAGAAAGACACACTCTAGATATATTGCGTGTAACGATTGAGGGATACTGTCTGAATATTGTGTGTGAGGAAAGAAAGACACTCTCTAGATATTGCGTGTAACGATTGAGGGATGCTGTCTGAATGTTATGTGTGAGGAAAGAAGTACGTTGTCTAGAGATAGTGTGTTAAGAAAGAAAGACTCTCTCTAGATATTGCGTGCAACGATTGAGGGATACTGTCTGAATGTTATTTGTGAGGAAAGAAGTACGTTGTCTAGCGATAGTGTGTTAGGAAAGAAAGACA